GTGAGCGCAGTGTGTGTGTGAGTGCAGTGTGTATAAGTGCAGTGTTTGTTAGTGCATGTGTATAAGTGCAGTGCAGTGCAGTGAGTGTGTGAGTGCAGTGTGTGTGTGAGTGCAGTGTGAGTATGTGAGTGCAGTGTAAGTGAGTGCAGTGTGTGTGAGTGCAATGTGTATGAGTATGTGTGTCAGTATGAGTGTGAGTGCAGTGTGTGTGTGAGTGCAGTGTGTGTGTGAGTGCAGTGTGTATGAGTGCAGTGTGTATAAGTGCAGTGTGAGTGTGTGTATGTAAGTGTATAAATGTGTGTAGGTGCAGTACAGGTGTGTACCTTGTGCAGCCAGGTGTTGTTGTGAGACTGACACACACTGAAGTGCAGGTGCGCGCTGGCACGCTGGCAGTGACTGAGGCAGCTGACAACTCCCTCGCTCTTCTGCGGACTCACACTCATCTGCATAGCCTTACACAGTGCCAGGACGGCCTTCGGCAGCGGGTGACTGACACACACACACACGCATGCTGTTAGACTGGAGATTCGTGACTATGAACACACATTCAGACGGGTAAACACTCACTCCAGCGTGTGCAGTGCTCTGGGCATCCGCTCTGCCTCTGCCAGCAGTGACCTCACCAACGCATCATCACCTTGCAGCCAATGAACCGCAGCCTTCAGCACCGATGCCCACCAGCGGCACACGGAGTCCCTGACTGCAGAGACGAGAGACACAACACGTCAGCGTGTGAGGACGCATTAACACACCACTGAGGCACTGACACACACCTGGCATTGAGCTCTGATTGGCCAGCGCAGGGAAGGGGGCGGTGGAGGGGGCGGAGTCTTCAGTACAGCTGTTCAACAGCTGCAGAAACTCCAAAACACCCGTGAACTCCCTGCAGGAGACATGACAGGAACACACTTTTAGAATAGAAGAATTACTAGTAATTAGAATTATTTTAATCAGAAAAATTGTGATCTGATTTGTTTCATTCCACTTGCTGATGTAGTTAGTTGTGGACCCTGTGCGTTTTTTTACCCATCGTGTGTTTTTGTAAACAGGTCTGTGTGTGTGTGTTTTACCCAGCATCCTCTGTGTGTTTGCTGCTCTGCGGCTCGATCAGCGTGTGCACTGCTCTCTCCAGGAGCTTCTCACAGAAGCAGCGGTGCAGCTGTGCGATGGGATCCGCTAGAGACACACACACGTGTTAGTCCTGCATCTGGACACTCAGACAGCCATCGAGCGGTCCGTCACTCTTACCTTGATCTCTCTGAGACGTGAAGATCTGCTCGCTGCTCTCCGCCCTCACTGACCAATCACAGCTCAGGAAGAACTGGCGGCCCAGCGGCGTGAAGATCCAGCGCAGGCAGTCTGGGAGGGGCTTGAAGTCTGATTGACAGGCCAGAGCCTCAGCACAGCTCAGCAGGTAACCCTGACACACAGACAGCAGGTTTATAAGGGTGTGTGTGGTGTTTACATGTGTGTTATGAGTGTGTGTGTGATGCTCACGGGCAGACAGGTGAGGTGTTTCCCCAGTGCAGCTCTCAGACTGATGGCTGCCGTCACAAAGATCTGGATCCGCTGAGCGACTGGTATCTTCCCCTCCGCGCTCTCGCTCAGATTCACAGCGGTCAGAGACACACACACACCCCAGAGCGGCCGCCGCTCCAGCTTACCTGAAACACACACACACTAACATTGTAACACACACACACACACGCACACACACATACACACACACGCACACCTGTGAGCTGCAGCTGGTTGAGTTGGTGATACACCAGCGCGGCGTCGCGTGAGCTGGTCTGTGACTCCTCCCCCTCGTGTCTTCCTCCAACCAGACGCACCAGCCAGCCCAGGGGGGCGGGTTTCTGCAGCCAGTAGCGAATCAGGTTCCAGGAGAGCGAGCAGATGAGGTCGAGGGTGGAGGAGGGCAGCACTCTGGACAAGACGGACAGACAGGTGTGCAGACTGACCGCGGCTGCCGCATAATCGCCCTGAGACACACACACAACACATGATCATCAACTCTATAGTGCGTGTGTGTGTGTGTGTGTGTGTGTATGTTTGTGTGTTTACCCGGTACAGCTGCAGGTCGGCCTGTTTCCTGTGTCTCCAGAAGCGCACTGACGTGGGCGAGTGAAGGGGCGTGACCGGCTCCCACAGGTACAGCACACGGACACACCCCCAGACCACGCCCGCTCCGCTCAGGACCCACACCAGGAACCATGGCAACACACACCACAGCCACGTCCCTGACAGATGGATGGACACACACGTGACATTATTGTCAGAGCGGATCACTCAGTCGTGTGATGATTGTGTGAGCGGGTCACGTGACTCACCGAAGCTCTGCGTCTGCGCGGACAGAGAGAAGAGCGAGCGCGAGGATCCGTGCGCAGCCGCCAGCCCGGTGCTCTCCTCGGACCCCAGCAGAGACGGAAGAGGGTTGAGCGACAGACAGAGGAAGGTGAGCGTGCAGAGCAGCAGACGCGAGCGGTCCAGCACTCCCACTGATGATGGCGAGTCCGGCTCGCTCTTCACCTGAAACACACACACACGCGGATCAGACTGACGCCTGCACTCTGATTTGAGGGGGCGGAGCCTATGTTCTGGTTTAAATCTGAAGTGAGGGGGTGGACCTTGTGAACAAATACTTAAACTCAAATGGATACCTGGAATTTTTTTTATCTGGTTTCCGACCGCATCACAGCACAGAGACAGCGCTCATTAAGATAATAAATGATATTCGCTTAAATTCTGAATCTGGCAAAATATCAGTGCTGGTACTACTAGATCTCAGTGCTACGTTTGACACGGTCGATCATAACATACTTCTCGAGAGACTGGAAAACTGGGTCGGGCTTTCTGGGATGGTAATCAAATGGTTCAGGTCAAACTTAGAAGGGAGAGGTTATTATGTGAGTATAGGAGAGCATACGTCTAAGTGGACATCCATGACATGCGGAGTCCCACAAGGCTCAATTCTTGCACCGCTCTTGTTTAGCCTGTATATGCTCCCACTAAGTCAAATAATGAGAAAGAACCAAATTGCCTATCACAGCTATGCTGATGATACTATCATCTCAAAAACATTGCAAGAATGAGATGTTTTGTTTCCAGTCAAGCCTTGGAGAAACTTGTTCATGCCTTATTTAGGATTGATTTTAAAGTACTTTTACTAGTTTATAAATCACTCAATGGCCTAGGACCTAAATACATAGCAGATATGTTCACTGATTATAAACCTAACAGATCACTCAGATCATTAGGATCGAGTCAGTTAGAAATACCAAGGGTTCACACAAAACAAGGGGAGTCCGCTTTTAGTTATTATGCCGCCCGCAGTTGGAATCAGATGTGCTAAAATATTAGTCACATTTAAATGCAGACTCAAAACTCATCTGTTTGGCTGTGCATTTACTGAATGAGCACTGTGCAATGTCCGAACTGATTCCACTATATTTTATGTATAATCTTTTTCTATTCTTAACTGTTTTTAAATTCCTTGTTTTATTGTTGTGATTTTTTTTTTCTTTTATGCAAAGCACTATGAATTACCATTGTGTATGAAATGTGCTATACAAATAAACTTGCCTTGCCTTGTGTTCTAATGTAAATATGAAGTGAGGGGGTGGAGTCTGTGCTCTGATTTGAATATGAAGTGAGGGGGTGGACCCTGTGTTAGAGATATATCGATTTACCGATATTTTCCCAATATTTAAGCATTTTACCATAATCGGATATCGGTTTTGTAATATTGGATTCACTGATAAATGCCGCATCTTGTGGGTGTTTTGAGAATTGCGCGCAGGATCGCCATTGTAGCACATCTGAGGGGAGACGAGACAACAACAACAGCGTGCAGGTACTTGATTTGCTGAAGTTAGTAAACTTTATTTAACATAACAGCCATTTATGCACAAATTAGATGCATTAAATAAATGCCTGATATGTAGTTTATGCAGCTTGGCTCGAAAAAATAGAGACCAACTCACGGAGTCATGTAAAATAATCCGTCAAGTCCTGTCCTAATAAAGACGTAACTTTGCCTGATTTAAATAATATGCAGCCATGAATGAGTGCATGTTGGAAATAAAAGTGCTGAATTTAATTCTCTCTCTGTTGTCTATGTTCATCGTTAGTCTCGTGAAGTCGGAGTCCCATAGGGTACTCTGATTTGAATATGAAGTGAGGGGGTGGAGTATGTGCTCTAGTTTGAATATGAAGTGAGGGGGTGGAGTCTGTACTCTGATTTGAATATGAAGTGAGGGGGTGGAGTCTGTGCTCTGATTTGAATATGAAGTGAGGTGGTGGAGTCTGTGCTCTAGTTTGAATATGAAGTGAGGGGGTGGAGTCTGTACTCTGATTTGAATATGAAGTGAGGTGGTGGAGTCTGTGCTCTAGTTTGAATATTAAGTGAGGGGTTGGAGCCTGTGTTCTAATGTAAATATGAAGTGAGGGGGTGGAGTCTGCACTCTGATTTGAATATGAAGTGAGGTGGTGGAGTCTGTGCTCTAGTTTGAATATGAAGTGAGGGGGTGGAGTCTGTACTCTGATTTGAATATGAAGTGAGGGGGTGGAGCCTGTGTTCTAATGTAAATATGAATTGAGGGGGTGGAGTCCATGCTCTGATTTGAATATGAAGTGAGAGGGGGGAGTCTGTGTTCTAATGTAAATATGAAGCGAGAAGGTGGAGTCTGTGCTCTGGTGTAAATATGAAGTGAGGGTGTGGAGTCTGTGCTCCGTTTTGAAAATTAACTGAGGGGGCGGAGTCTGCGTGTCTCACCGTCTCATGCTCAAGCAGCGGGCTGCCCGGCTCCGAGTCGACGCAGAAGGGCGAGAGCTGAGGGGGAGAGCTGGAGCCCGACTCTGACGGAGGAGGAGAAATAAAGACCATCTCCGGCTTCAGATCCACATCATCAGAGAGACACACCATCTCTATGAGAGAGATAGACATACACAGGACGCAATCGTCAAATCCAGCCATCAAAATAAAGTTTAGTATACAAAAAAAAAGATACAAATAAAGCTAATTTCGTATAGATAAATCAAAAATTTATATTAGTAAGGCCCAATTCTACCCCTTCCTTTGGCGCGTTCATGTGAAGGGGTAGGGGTGTCTCGATTCTCTTTTGGTTGGAGGGGTAGGGGTAGAGGGAAGGGCCAGATAGCCCTTCAAACGAAGAGTTTTCGTTATGTTAGCATTATGTCACGTAAAGCATTAACGTTACTGACTGCACAATAGTGCCACAACATATTTTCATGTCTGATCAGGGCAGTAACCACCATAGACACTGAGGGGGCTAGTCCCCCCAATAATTAGAGATCTCTAAACCCTTTTCTAATAAAATGCAATGTAAGTCACTTGCCCAATGCATAAATGAGAAGGTAAATGCATTAATTTTATACATTATTTATTAAATATTTATAAATTAACAAAGCAGAAGTAGGGATGTACAATTAATCAAAGTCAAATTGCAATACAAATATTAGCAAAATACATTTATAATAATATATAATAATAATAAAAATAATATTATTTAATATTACACGATTTTTATCCATGTTTTAATTTTAATTTAATTAATACAGCTCTGTTGTCCAGCATTTGATTTGATTACATTTTAAAATATTAATTAAATTGTTCAGTTTTATGCATTTGTTATCCATCATTTTTAATAATACATTTGTATTAAATCATTAACACAGAATCCAGAAAATCCTTGTGATTATTAAAATGTAATTTATTTAATTTAATGAATTTACCTTTATAATGAAATTGGAAATAAAAAAAAAAAGACAACAGAATTTCAGAAAAATGAATTTGGGGGTGGGGGGGGGTCAGATTTCATAGGGCCTTATTATTATTAAAATTGTAATAAATTACACAATTCTTAAAAATACTATTAAACAGTAAATTTTAGAAAAAAACAAAGCTGAGTTTGGGGAGAAGCAGCAAAGCCGGGCATGTCATGTGACTCACTGTTCTTGTGACTGGCCATCTTGAGCGTCAGGTTCTCCTGTCGGAGCTTATGGTTCACCTGCTGCAGGTATTTGATGTAGTCGATGGCTTTAAGCAGAACGCCAGACTTGTGCATCTGTCAATCACATCAAACAGACTGTCAGACAGTCACCTGGGCTCCACACATCCCAGCATGCAATGTGGTGCACACACCTTGGCATCGCTGCCCATCACGAGGTTGCGCAGCTCCAGGATTTTGTCATTGATGGACGATCGGTAGCGTTTCTCGATGACGTTGTGTGTCGTCCGTCTCTCACCCTCCTTCACGACTCCTCCCGTTCCCGCAGTAACGGCCGCGCCTTGTTCCATGCCCACCCTGGCCCCGCCCCCCGTGTGGGCGGTGCCCGAGGAGAGCTGCTTGATTGGCAGCTTGTCTCCACCTCCAATCACCATGGGAACGGTGGTCAAAATGTTGCTGCCCATCAGTGTCTGCGAAAGAGAGCCACGACATTCAGAACCATGAAAGGGATTTAGATAGATAGATAGATAGATAGATAGATAGACAGCGGTTTATCTTAAATCTGACAAGGCATCTGTAATATGGTTTGTTAAAAATAGCAACACGTAAACCACACAGGGTTGGGCTAATGTATGTTTCTGTTGATGGGTGCACATTCTGGCTTGCCAATAAATTACAACAACAGTTGTACTGATTGCTCTATGATGTTTCTGTCAGTGTATCCCGACTGTAGTGTGTGTGAGTGACGTACAGGAACCTGCAGCGCGGTGGTCTGGATGGGTGCCGTGAGCGTGGTGATGCCCGGCGTGTTCTGGACAGTCGACAGCACCTGCGTCCCGTCCGGTTTGAGCGTGGTCAGAACCAGAGAGTCCGTCTTCAGGATCTGCGGCTGGTGCAGCAGCACCTGACGGCCAATCAGAGCGCAGCGTCACACATAACATCATACAACACAATAATGACAGACTGCAGTGAGCGTGTGTGTGAGACGTACAGGCACCTGCTGCGATACGGTGTGGACCGGCGCGGTGGACAGCGTCTGGAAGGTCTGACCGGATGGAGTCAGCAGCCGCTGGTGCTGGATGGTCATCTGCTGGACCTGCGGTGACGTCATGATGCTCTGCATCTGCGGCTGGAGGACTGAGAGAGACACAACTGCGTGAGAGTGTGTGTGTGTGTGTGTGTGTGTGTATATAGTGAGTGTGTGTGTGTGCGAGTCCTCACCCTGGAAGCCGGCACCGGGGTTCTGCTGGCAGATCACCTGGTTCTGGATGAATCTGTGTGTCGGCGTGGCGGTCGGCGCGATCATCACCGTCTGCGGATGCGCCAGCGTCTGCATGGGGAACGCCTGCGTCTGCACCTGAGGACAGCCAATCAGAGCATGGCGTGAGGAGTGACCGAGTCAAATCAAAACACATGAGAAATCACAGAATCCAGACGTAAAAATGAGGTGTGGTCAGAATGGGAGGGGGTGTGGTCACATGTAAGGGGGTGTGGTCAGAGAGTGAGGGGCGTGTCAATGTGAGGTGTTGTCATGTGTAAGGGGTGTGGTCAGGCTCCCCTGTGTGATTGGCATGTGTGATGATTTGTGTTTAGAGTGTAAGGGGGTGTGGTCAGAGAGTGAGGGGCGTGTCAATGTGAGGTATTGTCATGTTTAAGGGGGTGTGGTCAGGGAGTGAGAGGGTGTGGTCAGGCTTACCTGTGTGATTGGCTGTGTATGATGATTTGTGTTTAGTGTAAGGAGGTGTGGTCAGAGAGTGAGGGCGTGTCAGTGTGAGGTGTTGTCATGTGTAACGGGGTGTGGTCAGAGAGTGACGGGTGTGGTCAGGCTTACCCGTGTGATTGGCTGTGTGTGATGATTTGTGTTTAGAGTGTAAGGAGGTGTGGTCAGAGAGTGAGGGGCGTGTCAATGTGAGGTGTTGTCATGTGTAACGGGGTGTGGTCAGAGAGTGACGGGGAGGGGTCAGGCTTACCCGTGTGATTGGCTGTGTGTGATGATTTGGGTTTAGAGTGTAAGGAGGTGTGGTCAGAGAGTGAGGGGCGTGTCAATGTGAGGTGTTGTCATGTGTAACGGGGTGTGGTCAGAGAGTGAGGGGCGTGTCAATGTGAGGTGTTGTCATGTGTAACGGGGTGTGGTCAGAGAGTGAGGGGCATGTCAATGTGAGGTGATGTCATTTGTAAAGGGGTATGGTCAGGCTCACCTGTGTGATAGTCTGTGTGTGATGATTAGTGTTTAGAGTGTAAGGGGGTGTGGTCAGAGAGTGAGGGGCATGTCAATGTGAGGTGATGTCATTTGTAAAGGGGTATGGTCAGGCTCACCTGTGTGATGGGCTGCGGTCGTGGCTGCAGCAGCGGCGGTGTGCGTGTCTGTGTTTGCATCTGCATCTGTGTCTGGCTGCTGGTCTGTATGGGTGTGTGTGGGGGCGTCAGTATGGCGCTGGGAGCCATCTGTGGGCGGGGCTTCCAGGGACGGCGTCCATCCTCGCGTGTCTCCGTCGCGTCGCTCGCCTTTCGGAATCACGGGCCCGGTTCCCTCGGTTCCGGTGTCGCTCGACCGCTTTTACCGACCGAACGCGGCCATCTTGCGCTCCGGCACTGACGTCCTTCACAAACAGCGCTCGGCTGTGGCGCCGTCGACCAATCAGAGCGCTCGCTTGAGCGTGGCCTGATTGTACGTCGATGAGCATTTGCATTTGACCCGCCCCTCTGAGTAAACCCCGCCCAGGACGCTCCGAGTGAATGGAGCCTGCTAATGAATATTTAATGAGCGGTCAGAAGAATATGTAAATATGACTGAAGAAGAGTGTCTTTGTTGTTGAAGTTAAATCATCATCACTTCAAATGTTTGTATCGTTATGCTATCAAACTAGCATCTTCTTTTGTAATCAGTTGTCAGATTAGGAAAAGTTATGAAACAACTAGTTCCTATTTTAAGTATGCTATTCCCTGCATGCATATATTGTCTTAATCTTGAGACAACTAATCATAAACACAATGTCAATTTGATAACAAACAATGCAAACAATAAAAGTCCTTCAACGGGACACGAATGTTGACATTTGGAAGATAAGTTTTATTGTTAATATTAGTAACATATTACCTATTTTATAAGAATTCATACTATAACTTAGATTCTAGGTTGCTTTCTGTATTATAACAATATTAAATATATGGTTTCTGATAGTAAAATAAAGCATTTGTATTACATTTATTACTTAACATATATTATATTTTAATGTTTAGTCATTTGATTAAGTTAAACTCAGCTATTCTAACTGTTCTCTTATAAATGTGAAATATAACTAATATTCTGTAATAATAATAATGAAAAACATTACTTTGTGTTTCCTCGGTAGTTAAATAACAAACATAAATCTCATTATAATGTCACATTAAACATACGTATGGCTTTGATTGATGAAATAATAGCAGATTTTTGAGACTGAAGTGCTGGTGTCATAAATCAAAACAAGTCTGGGATAATTCATGTGTTTATTTGTGTTCGACAGCTTCAGAAAACAAACACACAGTGTTCAGTGAAACTCACACATGTACTGATCTCACGAAACCAGTCCAAACTCAATCATCTCACACCCGTCAGGATCCATTTAAACACACAGCAATACTGAGCAGGTCAGCTTTAAGAGCACTAAATGTTTGTTCAATACACAGCATGTTTAACTGTAAATGAGCTTCGTAACTGAACGCGACTGCGCAGGTTTCTTTTAACAAGTAAAAACTGGTAAAAAATTCCGAACACATCAAATAAGCTTTATGTTTAATACATGTTTAGTAATTCATTCACTGCAGTGAAAATTAGAGCTGATTGTGCTCCGTATAATTTCTCACAGCGCTCGTAACTCAATGCAGCGCAAATCGTAAACATTAGCACTGCGCTCCAAACGCTGTGTCTGCATCGCTCACTTGTTCCAGTGGACCTCGTAGGAGCTGCGTTCAGTGAAGCTGTTTTCCGAAGCGGACCGAACTTTCTCCTTCACCACTCGGATCACCAGTCCTCCGGCCAGTGCGATTCCCGCCGCCGCTCTTCCGATCTCGCCGACGGTGCTCAGGATGCGCGCGGTTGTTCCCACGCCGGCATTACCCGCGGCAACCACCGCATTTGATGCAACTGTTTCGCCAGCAGTTATTGCTCCTCCCTGTAGCACCGCCCCCAATGCTGACCCCGCCCCTACAGCTCCACCCACTCCTGCAGCCACGCCCACCACCGCAGCGCCGACCACGCCCACCTGCTGCATTGCTTCCAGCGCGGCCTCTCTCGTTCCCGCGGCCTCCGCGCCTGCTAGCGCTCCCACCGATCCTCCCAAAACGCCGCCCGTCGCTGCTCCCAGAGCCATCGCGCTCTTTCCGGTTACCGCCGCTACTATTGCGCTTCCCGCCGCTGATCCGCCGCCCATCACGGAGACTCCTGCCGCGATTGACAAAGGAGCTGCGGCTCCGAAAACAGCTCCTACCGCCATCCCGGTGGCTCCCGCCGCGACTAGCACTTTCACATGCTCCAGAACTTTCCCGGAGAGCGCGACTTCGCTTCGGACGCGACTGAGCGCGGATCGCAGGGCCTGGCGTCTGCTGTGACCGCGCCGCCGCTGCTCGTCACGTATTGCGCGATCGGCGTGCAGAAACACGCTGTTGGTGTAACAAGCTCCGCCCATGCTATCCACTATCGTTAGCAGTGCGTTCACTTGCGCACGGTTCTCTGGCGCGCGGTTGTTGAAGATGCAGTAGCGTCCACCGCATTCGCGCAGAAGGATCTTCAGTCGCTCCGGAGCCGATTCGAGGAAACTCTCGATCCCGCCGTCATCGTCCAGCTCGTCTCCGCGCGTGAACAGCGCCACCGTGTGGCGGAGCGCCTCTTGGCCAAACACGCGCAGCATTTGCGCAACGGCCTGATCTTCGTCCACCGTGTATCGTCCGAGCGGGATCACCAGCAGGAAGGCGTGCGGCCCGGGAGCCGTGAGTGCAATGCACTTCGCGATTTCTGCGTGAACGCTAGTCGTGTCGAGCCGGGTGTCACCGAATCCTGGCATGTCTACAATGAGGATGCTCGTCATCGTCCCGCTGGAATCCTCGTCCGTTCGGCCGCACTCACACACGCGTGTCACCGAACCCGCCCTCAGCGCGGACAGGAAGTGACGTCGTCCTAGGATGGTGTTTCCTGTGGCACTCTTGCCTGAGCCTGTGCGGCCAATCAGAACGAGCCTCAGCTCCGCTCTGTCGCGCTCTTCCTCTTCCTCGGATCCGAATGCCTCCTCTCCACTCGACTGATCTAGAATCAGAACCAGAGTTCACTTCATCATTATCTTTATTTCAACATGCCAAAGAATGTAGTAAACCTGTCTGGGGCCCAACAAACATCTTTTAAAAATTGCTTTCAAATATTGTTAAGTTTTTTTTGAAGTATTGCACTTTAAAGGAACTGGACTATTGAAATACACAATACAACACACACACACACAAAACTATGAATACTTGTCTTAACAGAAAATAGGGATTAAAACAAAAAATAAGTAAAAAATGTATAAATAATTATAAGAAATAATTGTTTCTTGTTTCTTTATTTATATAGCACCATTTAAAACACAACCGAGGTTGAACCAAAGTGCTTTACATAAAAAGTACAAGAATAAAAACAAACATCGACAACATAAAACACCACATCGGCATATAAAATACCACCTCAATCATTGTATGCTACCAACATTAGATGTGCTTTCAACAGATTCTTAAAAATGTACAGTGATTTGGCAGATCTGATCGGCAGGGGCAACTCATTCCAAAGTCTCGGCCCTATCACAGCGAAGGCCCGATCGCCTTTATGTAGGCGATTTGTTCTAGGCACTACAAGTAATTTTTGATTCTCTGATCGTAATGTTCTAGGAGGATTATATGGGATTAAAAGTTTGCCAAATACAATGGGGCCTGGTTCTTTAAAGATTTGAACACGAACAGTAAAATTTTATATTTAATTCTAAAATGGACTGGGAGCCAATTTAAAGAAACTAACACAGGGGTGATTGATTCATATTTCTTTGCCTTTTTTAGTAACCTCGCCGCAGCATTTTGTACTGATTGTAGTCGAGACAAAGATGTGGCGGTGATGCCTGATTACAAAGAATTACAGAAATCCAGCCGTGATAGAATAAAGACATGGATTACTCTTTCAGAGTCTGAGTTTGTTAAGAACGGTTTAACTTTGGCTAATAAACGGAGTGGAATTAATTTGCTTATCTAATTTTAGGTTATCGTCAATTAGGAAGCCTAAATCTCTTACTGTTTTTTTCAAATACGGTGCCAGAGGGCTCGCATCTAATACATTTTTTGTGGAGTTATTTGGGTGGCTAAAAACAATGACCTCTGTTTTTTCCTCATTTAGCATTAAAAAAAATTTCGACAACCAATTTTTTATATCCTTTAAACACTCCAGAAATGAGTGGAATGTCTGATTGGTAGATACATTTGTAGATACATCGTACTTTCTAAAAATGCTGCCCAGGGGGAGCAAGTATAGAGAAAAAAAGTATAGGAGAAAGGATAGAGCCTTGTGGAACCCCCCAAGGAAGATGTTTTTTTACCAGAGATTTGATTATTATAATTAACTGAAAAACATCTACTGCTCAAATAGGACTGAAACCATTTCAGGACTGTACCCTTTAGCCCTACTAACTGTTCAAGACGGGAGATGAGGATGTTATGGTCAATCATGTCAAAAGCTGCACTCAAATCAAGCAACACCAAACCAACATCATCTCTTTTGTCTAAGGCCAGGAAAATATCACTTAACACTTTCAATAATGCTGTCTCAGTGCAGTGGGATGTTTTGAACCCCGATTGAAACCTTTCTCCTGTAGAATTTTCGCTTAGAAATGAAAGTAGTTGTTGCAATACAACTTTCTCTAAGATTTTTGAGGCAAAGCACAGCTGAGAAATTGGTCTATAATTCTGCATTTCGTCATGGCCTATATTTGGACATATTCCACTAGACAGACTTCAGTTAATCAGATGTTCTAAACTCAGTGATATGCAATCAAAGGTCTGCTTTAGCAAACGACTAGGTATGAAATAATTTGCACAGAATGTAGGTTTCATTTTTTGCACAATATCCTGCAGCATAGTCGACGTAATAGGCTCAAAAACCCTCAATTCAGCAATGCAAGCAGGACAGTCAGATGGACCAGAGGAATCTGCGCACGTTGATCAGCAATCTTCTGGCTAAAAAAATTAAAAATTTTGAATGAATTGTAAATAAAAAACATTTTATTGATCATATTTATATATTAAACATGATTTCTTTTTACAGAAACGTATAGTATATACTACATTCAATGTGGTTTGTGCCTTTTAAGATATATACAATACAATAAAATATAAAAAATAATATATAATTATAATAATATTATAAAATATTTCAAATAACATAAATACACACCACAGTACAAGTGATAGTTTTTTTTTTGCTTGTTTGTTTTTTAAAAATCCTTGCTAAAAATTGAATGAAATTGTTGTACCTTTATTGACAAAGAATGCTGCTTTTGTAACAGTTTAATTAAAACTATTATTTTAATAAGAACATATATTGTTCTCTCACCTTGAATATGCTGTTAACAAGCTGCACTTTCACAGAACTGATAATAAACGTCATTTGATAACACTCATAATAAACAGAATCAGATCGATAGCATGCCAAAATGTAAGATATAGGAACAAATAAATAAACAAGCCACTCGACAGAACACGGGTCTTAAAAGGATTATTATATATAAATAATAAAGGACTGATTTTTCTTTTCGTTTCTTTTTTTACAGAAATGTATGCTATATACTATCATTTAAATGGGCTTTTTTGCCTTTTAAGAGAGAAAACAATGTATAATATAAAGGACAAGCTTAGTTTTTTTAAAATGCCTTGCTAAAAAACATATTTTTATGTTTTTAAACATATTTATATAGTACTGATAATAAACAACATCAGACTGATATGCCAACAAATGTGTGTGTGTATATATATATATATATATATATGGATAAACTAATAATATATAATTTAAGAACTTGTACTAAAATGTGTTCAATGTTGTTTTCTGTCTAACAGCCCATAAAACAGAACATACCTGACTGCAGATCTCATCAGTGTGTAGTATATAGTTGATGTTTGGTTATTTTAGGTACCAATGTAACGTTTTATCGGCTATTATAACCATAAACTACACAAGTAGCGTTCCCAGACAGCTGCAGGATGTTTGTGTGTGACAGAAAGTTTTCTATAATGTATTTCTCATCATCATGAGCTCATGTTATCAAGCACACAAGTTCATAAACAGACTGCTAATAAAGTTGAGCTGTTTAGACGCAAACAAACACACGCACAGCGTAGCTAATGAGTGGTTTACTGATGTGTACACACCTGGAAAAGCGTTTCTAGACATGATGCTGCTGTCAGATCCACACTGACGGAGTTTTATCCAGTTTCGCTGGGTTTGTTATTGTTCTGTTATCAGTTGTAGCGGAAGCGGAAGATCAAGTGTCATCAGTGAGAGTCTACTTCCGGCGAACAGCAGCACGACAACACACTGAAAACACAGCTACACGTTTGAACGCATTTTCATTGTATTTGCACTGCTTTGACCAGCAGGTGCACTCAGCCTATTATGAGTACTTTTAACAGTGAATAATCAGGTTTGAAAGGCTTCTTTAATTCTCCCATCAATAAATATCACAGTGAAACATGTGGTGTGGTTTTATGGTGCTTGCTTTCCTACACCTTCTACCTTATTTGATTTATTCTCAAGATGTTATGGTCAATCATGTCAAAAGCTGCACTCAAATCAAGCAACACCAAACCAACATCATCTCTTTTGTCTAAGGCCAGGAAAATATCACTTAACACTTTCAATAATGCTGTCTCAGTGCAGTGGGATGTTTTGAACCCCGATTGAAACCTTTCTCCTGTAGAATTTTCGCTTAGAAATGAAAGTAGTTGTTGCAATACAACTTTCTCTAAGATCTTTGAGGCAAAGCACAGCTGAGAGATTGGTCTATAATTCTGCATTTCGTCATGGCCTATATTTGGACATATTCCACTAGACAGACTTTAGTTAATCAGATGTGCTAAACTCAGTGATATGCAATCAAAGGTCTGCTTTAGCAAATGACTAGGTATGAAATAATTTGCACAGAATGTAGGTTTCATTTTTTGCACAATATCCTGCAGCATAGTCGACGTAATAGGCTCAAAAACCCTCAATTCAGCAATGCAAGCAGGACAGTCAGATGGACCAGAGGAATCTGCGCACGTTGATCAGCAATCTTCTGGCTAAAAAAATTAAAAATTTTGAATGAATTGTAAATAAAAAACATTTTATTGATCATATTTATATATTAAACATGATTTCTTTTTACAGAAACGTATAGTATATACTACATTCAATGTGGTTTGTGCCTTTTAAGATATATACAATACAATAAAATATAAAAAATAATATATAATTATAATAATATTATAAAATATTTCAAATAACATAAATACACACCACAGTACAAGTGATAGTTTCATTTTGCTTGTTTGTTTTTTAAAAATCCTTGCTAAAAATTGAATGAAATTGTTGTACCTTTATTGACAAAGAATGCTGCTTTTGTAACAGTTTAATTAAAACTATTATTTTAATAAGAACATATATTGTTCTCTCACCTTGAATATGCTTTTAACAAGCTGCACTTTCACAGAACTGATAATAAACGTCATTTGATAACACTCATAATAAACAGAATCAGATCGATAGCATGCCAAAATGTAAGATATAGGAACAAATAAATAAACAAGCCACTCGACAGAACACGGGTCTTAAAAGGATTATTATATATAAATAATAAAGGACTGATTTTTCTTTTCGTTTCTTTTTTTACAGAAATGTATGCTATATACTATCATTTAAATGGGCTTTTTTGCCTTTTAAGAGAGAAAACAATGTATAATATAAAGGACAAGCTTAGTTTTTTTAAAATGCCTTGCTAAAAAACATATTTTTATGTTTTTAAACATATTTATATAGTACTGATAATAAACAACATCAGACTGATATGCCAACAAATGTGTGTGTGTATATATATATATATATATATGGATAAACTAATAATATATAATTTAAGAACTTGTACTAAAATGTGTGTTCAATGTTGTTTTCTGTCTAACAGCCGCTAAAACAGAACATACCTGACTGCAGATCTCATCAGTGTGTAGTATATAGTTGATGTTTGGTTATTTTAGGTACCAATGTAACGTTTTATCGGCTATTATAACCATAAACTACACAAGTAGCGTTCCCAGACAGCTGCAGGATGTTTGTGTGTGACAGAAAGTTTTCTATAATGTATTTCTCATCATCATGAGCTCATGTTATCAAGCACACAAGTTCATAAACAGACTGCTAATAAAGTTGAGCTGTTTAGACGCAAACAAACACACGCACAGCGTAGCTAATGAGTGGTTTACTGATGTGTACACACCTGGAAAAGCGTTTCTAGACATGATGCTGCTGTCAGATCCACACTGACGGAGTTTTATCCAGTTTCGCTGGGTTTGTTATTGTTCTGTTATCAGTTGTAGCGGAAGCGGAAGATCAAGTGTCATCAGTGAGAGTCTACTTCCGGCGAACAGCAGCACGACAACACACTGAAAACACAGCTACACGTTTGAACGCATTTTCATTGTATTTGCACTGCTTTGACCAGCAGGTGCACTCAGCCTATTATGAGTACTTTTAACAGTGAATAATCAGGTTTGAAAGGCTTCTTTAATTCTCCCATCAATAAATATCACAGTGAAACATGTGGTGTGGTTTTATGGTGCTTGCTTTCCTACACCTTCTACCTTATTTGATTTATTCTCAAGTAAGTCAAATCTGTCCGATCTCACAAGCATCTGAGTTTTCATACTTACAAAATAGATCACAGAAGACGTCTGTTCGGCTCTAGTTCAGAAATCTGAGTCTTTTGGCAGGAGAGCTTCGTAGTTATAGTTTTATTGTCTACAGGGCAAACACTTTACATACAAAATACTAATATGAAAACAGAAATAAAAACACAAGCATGTGATTTGCAAGCTTGGCTGCTGAGAAGCATTCCAATGTCTTGTGAAAGGTCTGGAAGTATCTCCCTATCGAAGTTTCTCATAAAAAACCCTCCATTTTATAATTTTCTTCTTCTTTGACGCCTTCAGAAGTCAATGGTAACATCCCTTTTCTTCAAAGCTCTTGCTAATACATGTTTCATCTCTAGCTGTACTCTTGCTAATATATGTTACAAACATTTGATCAATAAAGGCTTAGAACAATAACATGTGTGGTGTGTCTTAATAAACCACTTTCTTAACAAAACAAATACAATAACGTGTTCGGTTATAATACAAAAGTATTGCATTAAAGGAAAAGGCATACTTGCGACAGGACAATTGCAAATTTTCTTCAACAGTGCACACAAAACATAGCAAATATCATTTCTAATGCCATCAGATACATGCAGATGTCCAGAAACCTAGTTCTTGCAAACATGATGGTTGCCACGAGGTTATGCAGTAAGTTTCTGTGAAACTGTTACAATGTAAAGAAAACGACATCTACTGTATATTGTCAGACAATAGACATTTTGTTCATACATATGTTGTCATAAAGTTACAGACACTGGTATGAAGGACATTTAAAACAAACACTTCAACAGAACCTCTCTCTGATATATTATGTGGAGTTGAGAGGATTTCAAACTGAAGTGAGGAACAGAACAATGATTTTAACTGTGAATCAAGCTGATTTCATTTCTTCAATAAAGTCTTATATTCAAACTCTCAATAGCATCCTGTTTTGAGTATCTTCTCCATGCATGTGGTATTTCACCACTCCCCTGAAATGTGTTATTGTAGTATTTCTCCAGATCTCTCTGGAATCTGCACACAAACCACTTCCAGTAGGGCAGTTCAGAGAGATCAGGGGTGATGCTCCAGTATGCATAAGCTCCTCCTGCTCTTCTGTACTCTCTATAGAGGACTGACTTATCTGATCCTTCGGGATAAAAACATTGATCACTTGCTACTGCTGTTGTACAGATGCTAATACACAAGTTTGTTGTTCCTCTGTACAAATGTCCATTAATTCCAGTAACTCTGTGGAAAGCAACACTGTGATCTCCATCATGGTTTTCTGTGGTGTTTGTGCAGATAGCTTTACAGAACGGACACTGAACCCAACAGCACTGACAGAAGAGATTGATCAGAAGCTCATCTGGTCTGAATTTATAATCCAAATTTACTGGAAATGACTTTCTGTTGAATCTACAGCTGATGTCAGACACTATAGCAGGAAGTTTTTGTCTTATCACATCTTCAAGTTGGAAATCCTCAACATCATCATGTTTGAGTCCACTGAGGTGTTTTTCAGAGAAGATCAGCTCATCTGAGAGCTGCTGTATGAAACTCTTCAACCACAAACCAGTATCTCCTCTGTTCTCTTGAACATGTTCAGTAGATTCACGAGCTGCTCTCATGATCTTCTGCTGCAGGAGTTCAATGTTCCTCTTCATCTTGTGTACAACACTGACACTGAACTGATCAGTGATGTACCGACTGACTTCATCTCTGATGAAACTCTTGAAGTGCTCTCTGGGATTATTGATGTAGTTCATGTATTTGTTGAAATCCTCCTCTTCTGCCAGTCTCTTCAAGATGTGTTTCTCCATATTGGATCTGTTTCCATTCAGTGATTCACAGTTTGATCTCATTTCATCTGCTATATCTCTGGCAGTCCTCTTGTAGACGCTCTGCTCAATGGACTCTTTCAGTTTCTGACAGATGATTTCTCCAAAAATAGCAGCTGATGCGGCTCCATGACAGTATTTCTGGAAAATACTATAATACTCTTCTCTCTTCTTCTCCAAATAGAGGACAGGGTCATTGGCTTCTCTGAACAGTCTGTGTTGGTCAGTGATCATCTTGTTTGCTCTCTCACAGATGGACAGAACCAAATGCATGAAGAATTCATTCTCAAACACATATTTCACTTGTCCTTCCTCATGTTCTGTTACTCTTGCTCTGATGTAATCTGTGAGTTGTTGAATGCAGCTGATGTTGTAGCCCATCTTTGAAATGTTAAATGACTGAATCATTCTGTCTGTCTGCTGAACAACATCTGTGACTAATGATCTTATTTGGGCTTCATCCTCTCTAGATAGAATGTCATGAGACACCTCTTTAGCTGATCTGTAGACCTTTGTAAAAGCTCCTCTAAATCCACTGGATCTCTTAAACTGCACATAATCACAATAACTAGACACAGTGAACATATCCCTGCTCTCCCTCCAGTGATCTACAGGAAGACTTTCATAGACGTCACTGAGGAGGATTTTCACATCTCTCATTATGTCAATGTCTCTGATTGGAGGAGTGTCTCTGATGATCATCTTTATCCACTGTTTCCAAAACAAATCAAACTCTTTCTTCAGTGTTTCTTCATCATTTGCTTTGTCTCTGAGTTTAAAGGTGAGTTCTTTGCTCTTTTCACAGAGAGTGTTTTCATGACGTGTCCTCTGAGCATTAATCTTTTTCTTCATGTCTCGCTGCTGAAGAATCTCATTTAATCTCCTCTTTGTTTCTCTCACAATGTTTTCAAGAACATATTTGATTTTGATTTCAAATGATGTTTTCCACTGAATCAGTTTATCTGCATCTCTGTCTTTCTCAAAGAATTCAGACATTGATTTTTCCACTTCTTCACTGGTCTTCTTCAGTTCTCTGTGAAGATCAGTTTCATCAATCTCATGAATCACTTCATTTTCTATTTTGTTGTGCAGTTTGTTCTCAGTTTCCATCATGGCACTGCGAAGACTGCAGGACCATTTGCTGTATTCAGTCTCTAGTTTCCTGTAAGCTGAGATCTCCAGAGCATTTCTGAATCTGAAGACGAATCGTTCATTCAGTAAAGCCTCCCAGAGATCTTTAATATGATCTTTGAAGTCATTCAGCACCATTCCATGTGATGCTGAGGCACGAGACATTATAGTTTCCTTCAGTTCTTGAATGTTCTCACAATAGTTTGTGTTTGGTGGAGCCATCGGTGGGCTGCCCTCCCAGAGCTGAGGAATATACTTCACATCTTTCTGAACATCAAATCTAATCACATCACTGAAACATTCTGCATCACAGACTTCCTCTTTAGCAGCGAGTTTTGTCATCTCGTCCAGTTTCTCCTGCAGTCGTCTCCTTCCCTCCATGTTTTCGTCAGGTCTTTCTTCTCCAGTAAATGAATCATCTGCTGTGCTGCTACTCTTCCTCCCCTGCAGCCATCATCATCTTCCTCATCTACTCTGATGTCTGAGTGTTTGGACACATCTTCAAGTCTGAAAGCAGAAGATGATTCTGAGAGACAATCATTTATAGTTTTTCTGAGTTCTTCAGATACATCTGACTGATTCCGGTCTTTCAAACTGATTTTGTATTTCCCTTTCTTTATCTCAGTTACAGTACATTCATCTTCAGTAAAAAGGTAAATGAGTGGCTTTGCACTCCTGTATAGGTTTTGGATTGTTGTTGTATGTCTATCATTCCTGTCCAGTCGTGGCAGAAGAACAACATTGACTGAGCTCATTTCAGTAAGGATCTGCAGCTGTTTCTCATGGTCTCCTGCATCACCATGAAGATTACAGAACGCAACACAGTCAGTGAATTTATCTGTGTTTCTCCCAGATGGACAGAACCAGGCGATCTCCACCACTCCATCCATCAGGACTCTGGTTCTGCTGCTGCCTGGGCAGTTCCTGTGGAAGAACGTGTTGTGTTTCTCATTGATCAGACTGTTCATCAGATGAGACTTGGAGGAAGACACAGAGCCAAACCTGAAGAAAAACACCATTGGAGTTTCTGCCTTGTAGATCGGCTGGGTTAGACTGATGAACTTATTGTTGGTGTTTCTGATCTTCCAGCTCTCGTTGATTTGTCTGAATGTCCAGAGAGGAAACTCAATCTGTCGTGTGAATGAGACGTGGAGGAAGACACAGAGCCAAACCTGAAGAAAAACCCCATTGGAGTTTCTGCCTTGTAGATCGGCTGGGTTAGACTGATGAACTTATTGTTGGTGTTTCTGATCTTCCAGCTCTCGTTGATTTGTCTGAATGTCCAGAGAGGAAACTCAATCTGTCGTGT